CTAAATAAAGCTAATCGATGGGAATTGACACCACTAATTGACACTAGATGACACAATGTCACACTAATTGACACGCATATTAGATACCATGCTTACGTGAGGGTCGTTGGAACTTCATGCAATAGTTGAGCACAGCATGCATTTTGTAGTGAAGTGAGGCGGCCTCATCATTTTGTAGCGTGCATTGAACGCACCTAGAAGCGCCATCCCCTTCAAAGCCCAATGGTATGTTTTGGTCACGTAATATTAGCGTCCAGGCAATCTGCCCCATTTTTCTGGAACACTGAGTTTGCCGTGCGCGCTTCCTTTCTCTTACACGATTCATTTGATAGCTCTTGCTTCCTTATGTGTGTTCTTGAACTGGTTACGTATCATTTTTTTTTGCCCTGAGATTTCATCTTCCCTGGGTTGAGACTGAGAGTAGTTCCATCATCCAAGAATGCGCTTGGGGGTTTGACTCCAAGTGTTCTCCTTGTGAGATTACAGGGTGTTTGAGCCCTGTACATTCATGGAAGGAGGAATGAATCATGGTCACAATCCATCCTTTTGGCTATTTGGGTGTGCTTGCTGCCTTTTCTTGGATTTGGTATTTTGTCATGGCTTAAGTTTAATCTGTAAGGAATCCTGTTGTGCCCGGACCATTTCTAGTAAGTGCTTTCGTTGTGTATTGCTTGCCCTGCTTTTTTGGTACAGACAATTAGCTGCCTTGAGCTGAATTTTATCGGAACTCTTCCTTTGTTGTTTTTGGTTGCTGTTTGCTCATCATTACGCTGAATGAAATTACACTAATTGACACTAATGGACACTAAATGTCACTAATTGACACTAAATTGCACTAGTTGCCACTAAATAGAGCTAATCGATACGAATTGACACCACTAATTGACACTAGATGACACAATGTCACACTAATTGACACGCATATTAGATACCATGCTTACGTGAGGGTCGTTGGAACTTCATGCAATAGTTGAGCACAGCATGCATTTTGTAGTGAAGTGAGGCGGCCTCATCATTTTGTAGCGCGCAGTAATTGGATGGGCAGACTTTGGTACTTTGTAACGACTGAAATTTTGTCTGTAAGGAATCCTGTTGTGCCCGGACCATTTCTAGTAAGTGCTTTGGTTGTGTATTGCTTGCCCTGCTTTTTTGGTACAGACAATTAGCTGCCTTGAGCTGCCTTTTTTGTGGGAACTCTTCATTTGTTGTTTTTTGGTTGCTTTTTGTTTATTATTGCACACAATTAAATGATCCTAATTGACCCTAATGAACACTAAATGACACTCATTGACACTAATTGGACACTAAATGTCACTAATTGACACTAAATTGCACTACTTGCCACTAAATAAAGCTAATCGATACGAATTGACACCACTAATTGACACTAGATGACACAATGTCACACTAATTGACACGCATATTAGATACCATGCTTACGTGAGGGTCGTTGGAACTTCATGCAATAGTTGAGCACAGCATGCATTTTGTAGTGAAGTGAGGCGGCCTCATCATTTTGTAGCGTGCATTGAACGCACCTAGAAGCGCCATCCCCTTCAAAGCCCAATGGTATGTTTTGGTCACGTAATATTAGCGTCCAGGCAATCTGCCCCATTTTTCTGGAACACTGAGTTTGCCGTGCGCGCTTCCTTTCTCTTACACGATTCATTTGATAGCTCTTGCTTCCCTTTATGTGTGTTCTTGAACTGGTTACGTATCATTTTTTTTTGCCCTGAGATTTCATCGTCCCTGGGTTGAGACTGAGAGTAGTTCCATCATCCAAGAATGCGCTTGGGGGTTTGACTCCAAGTGTTCTCCTTGTGAGATTACAGTGTTACAGGGTGTTTGAGCCCTGTACATTCATGGAAGGAGGAATGAATCATGGTCACAATCCATCCTTTTGGCTAGTCCTTGCTGCCTTTTCTTGGATTTGGTATTTTGTCATGGCTTAAGTTTAATCTGTAAGGAATCCTGTTGTGCCCGGACCATTTCTAGTAAGTGCTTTCGTTGTGTATTGCTTGCCCTGCTTTTTTGGTACAGACAATTAGCTGCCTTGAGCTGAATTTTATCGGAACTCTTCCTTTGTTGTTTTTGGTTGCTGTTTGCTCATCATTACGCTGAATGAAATTACACTAATTGACACTAATGGACACTAAATGTCACTAATTGACACTAAATTGCACTAGTTGCCACTAAATAGAGCTAATCGATACGAATTGACACCACTAATTGACACTAGATGACACAATGTCACACTAATTGACACGCATATTAGATACCATGCTTACGTGAGGGTCGTTGGAACTTCATGCAATAGTTGAGCACAGCATGCATTTTGTAGTGAAGTGAGGTGGCCTCATCATTTTGTAGCGCGCAGTAATTGGATGGGCAGACTTTGGTACTTTGTAACGGCTGAAATTTTGTCTGTAAGGAATCCTGTTGTGCCCGGACCATTTCTAGTAAGTGCTTTCGTTGTGTATTGCTTGCCCTGCTTTTTTGGTACAGACAATTAGCTGCCTTGAGCTGCTTTTTTTGTGGGAACTCTTCATTTGTTGTTTTTTGGTTGCTTTTTGTTTATTATTGCACACAATTAAATGATCCATAATGATCCTAATTGACCCTAATGAACACTAAATGACACTCATTGACACTAATTGGACACTAAATGACACTAATTGACACTCAATTGCACTACTTGCCACTGAATAGAGCTAATCGATACGAATTGACACCACTAATTGACACTAGATGACACAATGTCACACTAATTGACACGCATATTAGATACCATGCTTACGTAAGGGTCGTTGGAACTTCATGCAATAGTTGAGCACAGCATGCATTTTGTAGTGAAGTGAGGCGGCCTCATCATTTTGTAGCGCGCAGTAATTGGATGGGCAGACTTTGGTACTTTGTAACGGCTGAAATTTTGTCTGTAAGGAATCCTGTTGTGCCCGGACCATTTCTAGTAAGTGCTTTCGTTGTGTATTGCTTGCCCTGCTTTTTTGGTACAGACAATTAGCTGCCTTGAGCTGCCTTTTTTGTGGGAACTCTTCATTTGTTGTTTTTTTGGCTGCTTTTTGTTTATTATTGCACACAATTAAATGATCCATAATGATCCTAATTGACCCTAATGAACACTAAATGACACTCATTGACACTAATTGGACACTAAATGACACTAATTGACACTCAATTGCACTACTTGCCACTAAATAAAGCTAATCGATACGAATTGACACCACTAATTGACACTAGATGACACAATGTCACACTAATTGACACGCATATTAGATACCATGCTTACGTGAGGGTCGTTGGAACTTCATGCAATAGTTGAGCACAGCATGCATTTTGTAGTGAAGTGAGGCGGCCTCATCATTTTGTAGCGCGCAGTAATTGGATGGGCAGACTTTGGTACTTTGTAACGACTGAAATTTTGTCTGTAAGGAATCCTTTTGTGCCCGGACCATTTCTAGTAAGTGCTTTGGTTGTGTATTGCTTGCTCTGCTTTTTTGGTACAGACAATTAGCTGCCTTGAGCTGCCTTTTTCGTGGGAACTCTTCATTTGTTGTTTTATGGTTGCTTTTTGTTGATTATTGCACACAATTAAATGATCCTAATTGACCCTAATGAACACTAAATGACACTCATTGACACTAATTGCACACTAAATGACACTAATTCACGCTCAATTGCACTACTTGCCACTAAATAAAGCTAATCGATACGAATTGACAAGTGAATTCTGCTACAAAATGCGTGTAGCGAAATCTTGTTGCCAGAAATACATTCGCAAAATGGCAATCCATTTTTTCGAGATTGCATTTTGTAGTGAGCGTATCTTGGCACATATGGATGGGAGGGTTTGCATTTTGTAGGTGGTTTTTAGGTCATGCGAATGGCTTTTTGTAGGTTCAAAATGGGGGGCCCCTGGTTCATACCTACAAGTAGCTTGCACAAGGTCTCCCGGGAAATGTCAACGGGGATGTAAAAATATTTTCATACATGGACAGAACATAGACTTATATACTGTATATATAACTTTAAACATCAAAACCCCTCTAGGAAGCCAAATTCAAGAAATATTTTGCTTGTGTTTTTTTAGTATTGTTTTTTGATGGGATTTTTTAAATGTGCTTTTGATCTGCTTTGAATTTGGGCTTTCGATTTCGAAATTGTTTTATTTTGATTTGGATATGGCCTGGGTCCTGGGTTATGATTTAGATATGGTTTTCGATATGATTTTGATATGGTTTGGGAACGGAGCGGCTTGTTCGGGGCTCCTGATGGGCTGGCTTGGAAACAGAAAACAGAAATAACCCAGGGGACAGGCCTTTGGTCGATTTCTCGCACGTTTTTTTAATGGTTTTGATATGAATTTGATATGGTTTTGATACGATTGTGACAGGATTTTGATATGTTTCTGATATGATTTGAATATGGTTTGACGAAGGGAATCGTTTTTTTTTGGGGTTTCCGATGGGTTGGCTCGAAAAAAAAACAAGAAACAACCCTGGGACAGGCTTTTGGTCGATTTCCCCAAGGTTGTTTGGCATGATTTTGATAGGGTTGGTTTTGATACAATCTTGATATGATGCCGAAATGCTTCTGGTATGATTCTGATCGACATGTGTTCAAGACGTTTTCAAAAAAAAACAACCAAAACATCAAAAAAACACACATCACAGTTTTGATCCACATCAAAAATCACAACTGAAACCATATCAAAACCATACTGTAACTGAAACCATATCAAAATCATAGCTGCAAAAACGGGCCACCAGCAAATCATAGCAAGAAATCATATCTGAATCATATCAAAATCACAAAACAATTATCCTAGAGCCAGCTGACGTTAGAATCATTGACATATTTGTTCATGTCCCAAAGTGCCTATTGATGCATAGGGCCCACACTGTCCTTGGCATCTCCTGCTAGAGGCTTTGCTGCTGAAATGGTCACAGTTTCACGACGGCCGTGACTTTTTCGAGTTCCTCATGGATTCATCAAAACAGTTGCTAGGTGCGTTCGGTGCTTCCAGCGGTGCTTCATGCGATATTTTGTTACAGTCCAGAATGCTCAGGCCATTTTCTCCACATCTCCCGCAGGTGCAGGTTGGATTCATGTACTGAACCTTCTATTTGCGTACCTTGGCGCCCCTGCAGACACAAGAAGCAATTCGGTCAAGCGCAGTTTGTGGCAATTTGCAGTAATTTGCCTACTGATTGGGAACGGAAAGATATTGAAATGCTTCTGTTGCACGGTCTCACGTTCTATTCTCCTGAGGAAGAAACTTGAACAGCAATTCGAGACGAGTGGTGGGGACGAATGTGATTGGCCAGGGCCCCGGAATGGGTCCTGGGCAGCCCGGGCAAGTGCACTGAAAGATGGAGGACTGGAGTGACTGGAGGACTCATCAACTTCCTCGATCTCCGCTGGAAGGTATTGGATAAACATCGTGGTGGACTGTACCTTTGGGGTTGGTGTGACCTACATCCTCCTCCAGCTGTCCATGAGGTGCACTGGCTAATGCTGGCTAATGCTGGCTAGACGTCATGAGATGCGGAGACTGAATAATTTGGTGGTGGCAGAAAAACCTTATTTGCCAATTTTATTCTCAATAGATCAGCAATCTGCTTCGCCCGTCATTTCGGTTCTGCAGGTTTGTTCAAAGTGTCATTCCAGAGCAGGCCTGTGAGGGAAGCGCCTCAGATAGGAGTCCAACGGTTCAACGTGTCACTTTGTGGCTATACTAGCTTATTCTAGGATATTTTAGGTTATTCTCTCAAACGATTTTGCTCGACCGAAGGCCGATGATTTCAGGACTGGAGAATATCGAGTGAATGGAATCACAGATGCTGGGCAGCTTGGCCCAATTGGCTTGACACATGTGCATCATGTGGATTTGCATTTCATCGAACGATGAGGTGACTTAGCAAATCACATGATCAACATGATCTAAAACCACAAGATATCACAAGATAACATAACTACTATGAACTGACCCTACCGGGAGGGTCTAATGTCATCTAATGTCTCTCTTCTTTTGTTTTCGCAGCTAGTTTCATTTTACCTTTCCTAAGCAAGTATGTCAAGCAGCTGGCTGTGTGGCTGGTGATTGTAAGCTCAATGCCTCCTAGCTGCTCCAGCCATGTTTTGCTCTGTTTTGTTTGCAGCATGAGCCATGATTTCGTGGCGGGTCTTGGTCATTGCCGCAAGGAAAGGACTCATGGTGGCATTTATGGCAGTAGGCCATTCTCCATTGCTTGGGCTAGCCGGAATTGCTTTGGCGCCGCGTTTTGATTGCAAATCAGTGAGCCAAGCTGAGAGATCACCCAATTCAAATGGGCAATTCATCAGAAAGCTCCCACGTGGCAAGAGCATGTTGCAAATGGCTCGGATTGTCCGAATTGCTCCAGGTTTGCTGCCAGCCCGAATCTGAAGTTGTTGGTCGCCATGATTGCAACGCCCTTTTGTATGAACGCCTTGCAGTTCTGGGTGACGGATAACTTCATCAAGAAAAAAGGCCGGAATCAGCTTGACATTACATTTCTTCTGTTGCTAAGGGTCCCTGAGTTTGCATGCTTGATAGATGGTATCATGCCTTTACAAACACCAGGTGGAATGATTGAGGAGGATGATGACGAGTCTTGGCTGCGGCATTTGGTCTTAATTGAAGTGTGCTGCCTGCAGTCTACAGGTTTTCTTGTTGCATGACTCCTTAAGGACATAGAATTAGATGAGCGAGGTGGTCGGACAAAGATCGACCATGGGGACTTGTAGTCGATGATGTTTGCCAGTGGTCCATCGCAGATTATTCACGTTTGTCAACTCACCGAAACGATGCGTGGCCCATGCCCATGACGCTCGTGCTGGGAGTTTGGCCTCACGTGTGAAAGCGCACCTGTGGACATCCCAATAAGCGAGCCAGCTATGCTTTCAATGGTTTCAGTTTGGAGCACGTTGTATGTCTCACCTGTTTAAGGAAGCGTGCTGGGAAATCTCCAAAACAAGAATTGCAAGCGGTTCAAGATCGCAACCTGAACATGAGCTTTGCCGACAATTGTCTAAGAGTTTCTGCTGACCGCCATACGGAACCTACATTCTGCAGCTTTGGCGGCTTGGGCCCTGCGAGCCCCACGTGTATTCACCAAACCTCTTCCAAGCATACTGCTGTGAGCCTGTCGCATCAGGTGTTCTAAGCCCGAAGATGAACGACTGGACAGACTGCTGGCAAAATAAAAAGACCTGCAGTGCTCAGCGTTCAGTCGTCTTCCGTCTTCATGAACTTGCGTGGATGCATTACATTTCATTACGCACACATATGGATACATATGGATACATATGGCAATCATATGGCCCCTGATTCCCATAGCCATAGACTGCATGTGTGACAGAAGTGCTCTCAGCAACATGCATCAACCAATCCACCTGCACATACAAGCATACATGAACCCGGTAGCGCAAAGAAGGATTATTTTATTTGCACAATCTGACCACCGCTTTTGCCTGAACTGTCAGTCAGAACTTACGGTTTGCTACGTTGAGTGCATGTAGTGTGGCAGACTCCAATCCTGTTGTGATGGCATGGCTTTTAGCTCAGATGTCATGTTGACTTGCTGCCTTCCCCAGCTCTTGTTGAGGTGTTGTTGAAACATGTCCAGCTCGTGCAGCATTGCAGGTCGATTTTGTAATTTGCATATTGCATTGTTTCCAGTTATCATTATCATTGTCATCGTTCTTACCAGACCGCGAAGGTTCGCACCAGTCTTGACACTCCAAATCAAGCAGACAGAATCACTGGATGGTTCCGCACAGCGCATAAGCCATGTCGGAAACTTTCAGGCAAAGGACCCTGAGAAGAGACGGATACCCAATCCACGCAGCAACAGTCCTAAACTTTCGGGAACCACGCAGCCACGCAGAATCAGCAGAGCCATTGCTCTTTGGAGGGGAGGGAATTTCAATGAATTTCAATGGGTTTTCTGTTTTTGCCATTGACGAGTTCAAGCTTCGAAGCTGGTTAGCCAGTGAAGGTAATTGGTGCCAAACATTGCGTAGGTACTGTGTCCACGTTCACTCATGAAAAACCAACGGCACCCTGGCAGGAAACATGTAAGCTTGGCATCACGCAGTGCAACATCACATCCGAGATAGCACGACATGACCTATGACCAATAGAATCTTTCACATCGCCAAACAGAGGAGAGCATTATGTCAGCTGAATTCTTTTGGGAACAAAAAAATAAGAAGTACCGCACACATCGGCGAGCCATTTATTTCCGAAATTACCGTATTTTTTGAGTCTATTTATTCGAGTCGCCTCGCGAGGAGAACCGCCCGCACCCAGGGAATAGGACAGAAAGAAAAGAAGCGGGTCTACTTGGCCCAACCAAAAGCGGACTGGGGTCAAACTTGGCCGTCCTTGGCCTTAAGTTGGGCGGAACAAGATGGTTTCTGCAAGCTCCTATCCCGCAAACATGGGGTCTGTCTGAGCGAAAACACCGTAGAACAAAAAAAGTGACCATTGCGCGACTACACTTGCAAACGGTGGCCATGTTCTTTGTCGATATAACAAGCCCCGGCCTAGTAGAAGGCGTTCTGGTGCTTAGGCTCTGGGTCCTTTCGTGCTAGGCATGCGGCGTGCGCTGGCGCTTTTACCGTTTTTCGCCACCTTACCATTGAAGGTGATCCTTTATGTTTGAAATTTGGCGCAAAAATCAACTGAAGCAAACATCTTGATTTTTTTTCTGCCCCCGAACCATTCTAATAGATCGAATAGGGAGTTTTGAACAGGACTGCCAGCCCAGACCGAGGATAGCCGGCACCGCATCATCCTCATCCTACTCCTGATCCGTATGGTCCTTCTCCGCATCCTCGTTCTCTTCCTCCTAATTTTTATCGTCATCGTCATTGTCGCCGTCGTCGTCATCATCATTACTATCAGAATCACCATCACTATCATAACTCACCAGCACCATTACCATCATCACCCTGTTCATCGCCCTGTTCACCACCATCACCATCACCATCATCACCATCACCATCATCACCATCATCACCATCATCACCATCATCACCATCATCATCATCATCATCAGCATCATCAGCATCATCAGCATCCGCACTACCATCCTCATTCTCAGTCTCCTCCTTCTTCTGGGAAAGCAGTTAAAAAGCATTGGCGTAGCCATGTTTTGAAAAAGAAAACAAAAATGGCTTCGTGTTTTCCAAATTTTCTTTCCCAAAAAGAGGCAGCATTGGAAGATGTTAAGTTGCGTGGCAGTCACGTTCATCGCAAATGTTGTGGAGACTTCTCTTCGTCCTTGTTTGTGACACTCCGATTAGTGTTGAAGTTTTGAATGCCTGTAATGCCTGTATTATTTTATAGTTCAACATGTGCTTCAAACTCCCTTATCCATCACAACTTACCTTTCGCCCACCCTCTTCCTCTCAAGTTCTGTCAGGTTTGTTGGTGTGGCACTGGCCGCCAGCAACTGAGAAGATCTTGCTTCAGAACAGAAAGTGTTTGGCTGAAGTTTCTTGTGCTGGTGGTATGTTCTTTGAATTTGTTGCTGGAGTTCCGCAGCGTGTGACATTTGTGTGACATTCTGCTGAGGCCATGGTCCTATTTCGCTTTGTGAGCGAACTTGGCCTAATAGGAGGGGACAATTGCGAGAAGTTGCAGAGGGAACCCCCAAGCTGTTGTAATTGAATACCGAATGCGTGAGGGAACCATTGCAATCTGTGCGCAGTGTTTGCACAATTGGTGGAAGGGCTAAGGAAACCGGTAAATAGCAGCTGGAATAAGGATTAATAGCTCTTTTGGTACTTGTGCAGCTGGTATCGTCCCATAAATTTTCTTAATTATCTAGAATCTAGAGATTTAAACTTTTGCCCCACACGTGCCAAGGTTTGCAGGAAAAGACACCTGCAGCTTCCCATCAAAATTTAAGAAATGGTGGAGCCCAATGTTTGGACTTTCAATCATCTCTTGCGTTGAAGAACGTGCGACCTCCACAGTTGCCATTGGCAGGAATTCTTGCCCAAAACGGCAACCCATGGCATGAGTGTTCATTGTCGTTGGCCAACTTTTGTTTGCCTGTTCCCAGAAAGCCGTTCTACAAGTCCATTTGTCATCTACCTCTCGCTACCTTTCTGCATTTTAATCTGCGTACCGCCGAACTACCACCGGCAAAAACATGCCGGCAAACATATTTGCACTGTGTTCGGTGTACCTGGGTTTTTCCTCGAACTCACGACTCGGGAAGAACTGACAACCCTATCACCTTTGACCCGAACAGGACTTGATGCTGACAAGGAGCTGAGGGGTTAGATTGCATTTCAAGACAGTCTTGGATGGGGTTACACTTCTGCCATTTTCTGCCTAGAGCGGCAAGTTGCGACAAGATGAAGCGCCACATACATGCAACATATCACAGATGTGGCAATCTGAAACAGACATGGATGTTCACGCAGTAGGTCTACAAAGTTTCCTTACTGTTGACTTTGTAACTGCACCTCCCCTTTTGTGCGACAGGGTGGAAAAGCCACCGTCAGCCAAGCCCTGCACTCGGCAATGCGCGACGTACATCGAAGTTCAATCCAAGAATAATTCTTAGGTTCAATCCAAGAATGAAACAGCTTCGACTCCTACTCAGGGAAAGCTTGGTGCGGAATCTCAGCTGACAAGAGCCAACCAAGGCTTTAAAAAGCGTGACAATTACCATCTTCTAGCACTTTGTTATATACCCATCTGAGAACGTGGCTATCTCTGTCAAATTTCGGGAGCCCATTGACAAATGCGGTGGCTACTTGAAAGGTACATGATCTATCATACCTCAGGTTCATTGTTGTCCATGTAACTGTTCTGGCTCTAGAGCTCGACCTAGGTAAACACAAGACCTCGTCACAAGCAGTCAGAGGAAAACAGACATTTGCGGAAACAGTACATCGTTGTCACTTTAGTTCCTCTATTTTTCGAGTTGGTAGCGGAGCCGGGAACCCCGGCAGTAACCCCATTTAAGGTATCTGCTATACCCTAAGGGTCGACTCGACAGTTTCATTTTTCTTTTCATTCTCCCTCCATTGATTGTCATCATGTTCACCGCCGTGCTGAAGTTGTGTGCCGTGTTAGTAGTGGCACTGGTGGGGTCTGTCTCAGCTAGCACTGGGCTGGTGATCAAGGATCGCAATACCAGCGCCCTTGTGATCCAGTCCAGTGCGGCTGGGGCAGGCTCGATCAGTGTCACTACACACTGGTATGCAACGAGCAATGGTCGCAAAGCCCCAGTACAGGCCAGGTCCGAAGGCGAGTACAAGCCCAGCCTGGTGAATGGGGATCTTTGGAGGCAGAAGCTGAATTCGACCCTGGTGCGGCTGCACCACTCAAGGAGGAAGTTCAAGATGAACCCTCGAGATCAGCGTAGGGCAGAGCTTCTGCGTAGACGGCTTAGACGGCAGCAGAGATTAGTACTTGAAAGGATGTTGCACATGTACGACTCTAAGCTGAAACATCTAAAGGCCCGTCACAAGGAACTCTGTGAGCTGATCTATGAGAAAGATGCAGCCATTAGATCCAGGAACAAATGCATGACCGGATCCAGAGCAGGCAGTCGCATGGCGAAGTCTCTTGACACCCATGGCAACTCGGGTTCGATGACCGCAGGTCACCGTGATGGCAGATCGCTCTCGGACTCAACACTGATGCTAGCCGCTGGAGGCGGCCTCAGCACATGTGCGTTTGTTGCTTGTATGGTGCCAGGTAGGAGTAGTCATCCAAG